ATTCTAAAAACTAAACTTAAAATAATTTCCAAGATATCCAATTAGATCCATATAGGCATTGTAAATATGAATAGTAATCTGCATTTTCATGACTTTTAAAGATGTTTAGGTACGTTTTCAAACGGCTTGTTTAAAAATCCAAGATGGCGGCCTTGTGGTCACGTGACTTAGTTTCCATGGTAACCAAGGCTCTAAGGTTCCTACTTTTCACAAAAGACATTAACTTGCCAAGTTTGGGGAAGATTCTTAGAAAACTGGCTATGATATAGCTAAACAGTTTTTCATCTGAGAGCCATGCCTTAATGATGCTGAGCAACTTCCATCTTTATAACCAGGGGTTATACATTGCATGTTTTTATGAGAGAAAGCTAAGTATTTGGCGGTTTTATCCCGATAAGGACTATTCTGACATCATCACATTAGAACATTTCTTTTCTTATTGCGACTTTTGATGTGAGAAATAAAAAGAAAGAAATAAAGAGCTGTTTCAGGTTTAAGTGAGGTTGTAGGTTTTTTTTAATTTTTTATTTTTTAGACTGCAATTCAGATTCATTTACTGTGGATGTTAGCTSTGTGTGTGTGTGTGAATCATATCAATTCAAGCATACAGTCATGATCTTTTTAGCACGTGGTGGCTCTTAAAAGAGCCGTTGTTTTTATAAAGTTTCATTTTAACCGCCTACTCCGTACACGCGCTTCAAAGCGTAGACAACATCCATTGCTGTGACGGTCTTTCTCTTGGCGTGCTCGGTGTAGGTGACAGCATCACGAATGACATTCTCAAGGAAAACCTTGAGGACACCACGGGTCTTTTCGTAGATCAGAACAGAGATATTAAGAAATTAATAGAATATTGAAATAGCTCGTATTAGGCAAACCGTGTTTGAAAGGTGAAAAGGTCTTGAAATGTAGTTCTTAACCGGAAAAATAGAAAATCGCGCCGTTCTCCTAAGATAAAAATCGGATATTTTTAATATTTTACCCATTAATAGTTCATCTGGGCCTACATTTGGGCGTAGTAAGAAAATTTTCGATTTTTTGAATGTTTCGCACGTTTGGTCGATTTTTACATACCTCCGCTCTTGAATACGGTCATTCGAATATACTTTTTTTTCCTTTCATTAAAATGACCGTATTAAATAGTATGGTCCTTTATTCGAATGACCTTATTTAAGAGTTCCCTTTTTTCAAATGGCAGTATTTACCGGATATAAAAAGGATACTCTTAAATACGGTCATTCGAAAGAAGATACTCTTAAATACGGTCATTCGAAAAAAGGACACTTTTAAATAGGGCCATTTGAAGAAAAAAAAAAACAACTCTTAAATACGATCAAGGATACTCTTAAATATGGTCAAGGATACTAACAATGCATTGCTTGTTAGTGCCAACACTTCCTGATATCCAAATGGTGCCTAATCCTATTGCATAACCCACGCAGGATAGATAGATAGATATATAGATAACTTCATTTAATCTCGATATGTATAATGAGACGGAGATTCGTGCTAAATACATTCGAGGAGCTATATAAAATCTAATTAAAAATATAATAAACTATAAACCACAATGCTGCGATGCTACATGATTGAAAAACTAGATATATATACCACATAGATAAAAAGTGGATAGTAGTATAGGGCATACCAGTCCTGATTCACCCGACTTTACCCCATGATTCCCCGAGTTAATCAAATTCGCGTAGTAATGAAATTCCAAAAACGCAGTAAAAGCTACGGCACCAAAAAATGGTCCTCGGGGATTACAGGGGTCTCAAAAAGCGGG